TCACTGTAAAAATATAAAAAAAACTTAGCCTACCTTAAAAGTTAGCTTCAGTGAGAAACTCAGCATTCACATTTTTTTTCCCATGCCTGGGGAGTAATCGGCCACACTTACAAGTCTGATACCAGAGTTCATCAAAAAGCAGAACATCTGGTAATGCAGGCTGATTTTCTTGACTAATTTAAGGCCTGGGTATCTGCTCTGATTTCTAGCCAGTGTAAGTACGATGTAGAGCTGCGCCCAGAGCTCAGGAGGACGTAGGGCAGCGCCCAGAGCTCAGGGGGACGTAGGGCGGCGCCCAGAGCTCAGGGGGACGTAGGGCGGCGCCCAGAGCTCAGGGGGGGGCGCCTAGAGCTCAGGGGGACGTAGGGCGGCGCCCAGAGCTCAGGGGGACGTAGGGCGGCGCCCAGAGCTCAGGGGGACGTAGGGCAGCGCCCAGAGCTCAGGGGGACGTAGGGCGGCGCCCAGAGCTCAGGGGGACGTAGGGCAGCGCCCAGAGCTCAGGGGGACGTAGGGCAGCGCCCAGAGCTCAGGAGGACGGGCAGCGCCCAGAGCTCAGGGGGACGTAGGGCAGCGCCCCCAGAGCTCAGGGGACGTAGGGCAGCGCCCAGAGCTCTCAGGGGGAGCGCCCAGAGTAGGACGTAGGGCAGCGCGCAGGAGGACAGGGCAGCGCCCAGAGGCCAGGAGGACGTAGGGCAGCGCCCAGAGGCCAGGAGGACGTAGGGGGCAGCGCCCAGGGAGGCCCAGAGGCCAGGAGGACGTAGGGCCAGCGCCTCAAGGAGGACGTAGGGCAGCGCCCAGAGGCCAGAGGCCAGGAGGACGTAGGGCAGCGCGTCCAGAGGCCAGCAGAGGCACGTCCAGAGGCAGCAGCAAACAGCAGCGTCCAGAGGCCAGCAGCAAACAGGGCAGCGTCCAGAGGCCAGCAGCAAACAGGGCAGCGTCCAGAGGCCAGCAGCAAACAGGGCAGCGTCCAGAGGCCAGCAGCAAACAGGGCAGCGTCCAGAGGCCAGCAGCAAACAGGGCAGCGTCCAGAGGCCAGCAGCAAACAGGGCAGCGCAGAGGCAAATGTTCGCCCAAACTATTCCGGAGGCTTTCCCCGCCCCAAAGCCGCATATATGCAAGGGGCGGGGCTGCCCCTGCAGCCTAGGATTTGTGGAGCATGCGCCTGTGCCACTCTGGAGCTCTGAGTAGAAGATCGGGTGAGCAACACTGGGAATGTTCGCAAACTGTCACCTGCCAGCGGTATCCAAACACATACACTAATTAATGACACTATAATTATTTTTCAGGAAACGGCTTCTTATTGTGTTTTTCTACCTCCTAGTTACATCCTCCATTACCTTCCAAATGTCTCCTTTTCACCCTCACTTTTTTTTTTTTAAACGAGCAGTTTATATTAGTTGCAGTCATGTGCACTGCTCTATGCACACTACAAATCCCATAGTCCCTAGTCCATCCTGGGAGCCAGCAAGAAATGGTGGCTGTATGCCTACATCATACAGAGGGATCATGGAGAAATAATATAGCCACCCCCTAACAGAAGCAGATCAGAGCAGCAACAAAAAAAACATGTTTGGAGAGTTGGAGGAGGCTGTGAGTAACTGAAGGTACTTTTTGAATTCAGAATACATAGTTGAATAGAATTAATTTTTTTAAACCAAAGTTTAGAGTCACTTTAAAGTGGTTGTAAACCCTTACATGCACCCAGTGAAGTGACTGGCCTCAGGTGATACACAGATTAAATAAACCCTATGTAAGTTGTACCTGTTTATCTGCAATTTCTCTTCTCTACATCCATTCAAAGTGCATGATTTATAAAGTTTCTCTGAGAGAGTTTTCAGAAAAAAGGGGGAAGAGAGCTGAAGTTTCAAGTTTCTGCAGATCAGTGAGGAGAATTCTGAGAAAGGATTGGAGGTAAGAGACACACCTCCTCCACACAACTCAGAGGAACAGAGCAAAGGCTGTCAATCAGCTGCAGCTGGGAATCCCTCAGTCACCATTTTTCTCTTGGTGTCAGGAAAACTTGTCGTAAGTGACTCATACAGATAGCAGAGGAATGAGTAGCAGACAAAAATGACACTTAACGCTCTGGATTGAAACAAGCACACACTGTAGAGGGTTATGCTTTATTTATATTTCATGTCTGAGGTTTACAACCACTTTAAACCTCACCAGTCCCCCAATTCTGTGTCTGACCCTGCATGTCCCTGAAGATGAAGACGTCTCCACAGATTTCTATAAAAGTAGACTGCTAGTACATGGAAAATTCCAAAACAGAACTGGGAATGCCAAAGTAAATGATACAAATACTTTGATTAGTGGGTAGGGGCAGACAGCAAGGATGGTATTACAAGTAGAGGAGGTGGGCTATAAAATGAGCCTGTTACTTTTCCTAAATGGACAAAGCTGCAGAATTCCTTTACATTAAAAAGCCAGTCATGGACTGGAAATACAGACGTGTTAAATTTACATAATACACTCATTTCTTCCTAAAGCTAGTATTACACGTTTAGCATGGATTGAGGACCCTATTGATTTCTCGCATTCAGCCCATGAGAGAAATCAATAGATACCTCCATCCATGCAACACCGCCTGAATGCCCAAACAGTGGCTATATCTTATAGGATGTGGTCACTGTTCAGCTGACAAGTTTCCACCTGGCTCCATTGGCTTTTCTGGAGCTGATGCTAGCAACAGGGCCACCCAGAGTTCATAATTTAGCAGGAATTGGCTGAACTCTGAGCTGTGTATGGCTAGCTGAAGGTAATTCAAAATAATAACTTCATTATAAGTGAAAGTCACCATTCTACATCAGACGGAACAAGCATTTCTCACCCAATAGTAAAAGAATAGTTTTCTGGACACGGCCCACTGTTCTCAAAAATGAATATTGGGGCATGCTCAGAAGAACAGTACAACAAAGGAAGTAAACACTGTTTTTTTACTTTCAGGATAATTCTACCTAGTATGAATTTAAAGGACACGTTAACCTTAAGGAACATGTTACACCCGTAATTAGGATGTAACATGTTCCAATGAAAGCCGGTACAGAGATACAGGAAGAAGAGTGTGCAGGAGACTAACATTGCACCTGTGATCCACTGAACGTCGGTGCAATGCTTTTCAGGCTCCTGTGTACAAAAATAATAAATGCCCATTTACCAGGAAAATTTGAGCTATTTATTATTTTCTACTGAAAAGGTGAACTTAGCCTTTAATATGTTTTATAGTACTGTATAATTATTCCGTGCAAGCTGAAACGTTAGAGCTTTAGTCTTTTCAGAGAATTTCCTTAAATTCTTTAAATACCCTCAATAGAAACCAAATAATTTTACTTGCATAAGGCTGCCCCCTCCTGGAGGAATAGAGTGCAGCATAGTAGGCCACCCTTATTTTGAGATGTACTGCAAATGTTCCACTGAATAATACGGTTCTCATGTGGAAATGAAGCTTATACTCAGGATTAAATATAAAAATACTTTAGCCTCAATACCATACCTCTAAGTTAGCTGCAAGATGTGTTTATAATATTAAATCTAGTACACACAATAAGGTGCTTTTCTGCTATTTTAAAGTATGAGCTAAACCCAATAACTAGAATCTCATGAGTTTAAAGCAGAGTTCCAGGTATGCACGTTTTTGCATTAGTTGCATGTTCCAGTCTGGGCCAATGTAGGTATGCATGTGTCATACTTGGCTGATCCCTGTGGAAGCTGGAAATCACTGTGGTACTACAGTGCTACTACAGTGATTGCCCATTTTTTTTTTTCAATGAATGCAAAGCATTCTCTGATTAGAGAAGGTGTAGATCATGACTTAACAGACCTCGTCTCTAGGTCTCGCCAAATCAGGGAGCTTTTTGAATTCACCAAAAAAAATACAAAAGTGTTCTCTAAACAGCACCCGTATTGAGTGAACAACCTCCAGTGTCCACTCAATATGGGACCTGGAAGCCAGCAAAAATCACTGTAGTAGCGGTGTCTGCTACAGTGATTTTCAGCTTCCGTGGGAATCGACCATGTATAGCACATGCATATTTTGCAAAAATAGCCATACTTACCTATTCAGCTTTAAACATGTTCATGAAGTTTTGAAAGCCTTTTTAATTTTTTTTACATATGCACCTTTTCAGTAAAAACACCTGGTGTACCTGACAATAAAGAGCGACTGTTGCTGTGTTCATGTAGGGTTCTGTGGAAATGGTCGCTAGACCCATTTATAGTCACCTAAGCAGTGCTCCTTCCTGTCTGCAGCCAATGACAACACCTGACACATCTAGGTATGGAGGAACATGTAACCTACTCCTATGGCTGTGTTCACTAAGACCTAAGCACGGTCACATGACATAACTGCTGCACCAAGTTGCCGATACCAGTCACTTCAGGGCCAGTTGCTATGGAGGAAGGAGCAGCAAGAGAACATTGGTAAGGTAAATACAAGGAGCCCTTTTGAAAGACATGAACACTTTGCCCTGCAAATGAAGAAGCAGCAACCAGTGTGATAAATCACAACTTTGCTCTCTCCTCCTGCCTGCAAAGGTGCACTGTATCAGAGCCTAACTGGCTCAGAGTACTGGACCTCCCTCTCCCAGTTTGAATTGTTGCTGGGATTACAGGAGATGGGTATCAAAAATACATAATTGTATCAATTGGTTATATATCTGTGATAAATTTAATGTGAACATCTACATTATCAATAAAAATCTGAAATGCATACATTTCATAGGTTGAAAGGACTATGTAAGAACACAGAATTCACAGTAATTAGTACAGGGGTCTCCAAGCTTTCAAAACCAATTCACAGTTCGCTGTGCTTCAGACTTTAGGGGGGCCAGAGTGTGACCAGTGGTAAATAATGTCCCAGACTTGATGGTCATTGGGGTTAAAAAAAAAAAAAAAAAAAAATTGTATGATCTTTATATCCCCCATCATCTTTATAGTGCCCCATCATTAGTGTCAGTGGGAAAAATAGCGCCCCATTTTGGTGTCAGTGGGAGGAATAGTGCCCAACGTTTGTGCCACTGGGAGGAATAACGCCCCATCATTGGTATCAAAGAGAGGTATAGTAGGGGAGAAGGTCACCAGCACACCGAGGATCACCAATATGGGTCCAAAAGTTTTAATGAATGATCACATCGAAACGTTGCCCTGCTGTAACTATGTGATCATTCGTTAAAACTTTTGAACCCATATTGGTGATCCTTGGTGTGCTAGTGACATTCTCCCTTGCTGATTCTGTTAGGTTCCAGCCGTCGGTCGCTGCAGCACCCACTTATACACACGGCCATTTTTAACGCAGGAACATGTGCGTTTAGATTGTACACTTGTATACCGAGAGGTATAGTGCCCCATCATTGGTGTCAGTGGGAGGAATAGTACCCCATCACAGGTGTCACTGGGAGGTATAGTGCCTGATCACTTTTGTCAGTGAAAGGAATAGTGCACCATCCTTGGTGCCAGTTGGGGGAATAGTGCCCCATCATTGGTGTCAGGGGAAGGAATAGTGTCCCAAGGGCCGGATAAATCCAAGCAAAAAAAGGGCCACATCTGGCCAATGGACCACAGTTTGGAGACCTCTGATTTAGTATAAGTAAAAAAGTTACCATTTCATTTTCTGGAAATACCTTGTGTCAAACTATTACCATGGCTTACTCTTGAAAAAGGAAAAAAAAAAACGTTTTGACTATATCTTTTTAAATCTGCGTTCTCTAACCTCGTCCAGCAGTGGATGTTCTTCAGCTAAAGGGTTGAAGGGTATGAACATGAGAAGGGCAGGACCTTTCTTCAGCTCATTATTCAGTAGTAAACTTTTAGCACCATGAGGACGCAACCAGTTCAGAAGGGTCTCTCGGCTGTCTAGTGCCCATTTGCAAATATTTGAAGCTGTGAAGTTCATTTCTTTGTCTGGGTATACCTGTCAGTGAAGTCAAATGAGGAAAATAAACATTTGCAAATATGTTTTTGTAATATAAACAAAAAAAAATAGAAACAATAGAAAAAAGGATTTTTATAAATCCAGAACAAATAAGAACCTGCAAATAGGGCCCCTTTCACATGGGGCAGATTCCGTTCCGATCAGCAGGGGATCAACACACAGATCCCCTGCTGATCGGAGCAGAGCGGGTGGATGACACACATCCACCAGCAGCTTTGTATTACTGCAGTCACCAGTTGTTGAAGGAAATCTAGACTTTCAACATACAATTATCCTGATTTCATCTCCAGCTCTAGTCCTTCAACAGCTTTGGCTATTGAGTGTTTTGAAATACAACCTCCCATTTGGATTTTAACATTCTGATGTGGAGCTCTAGTTTTATGATGCAACCAATACACCGATTTATCAAGGATTTCTGTGGAGGTCCCTCAGTATATCTAAGCAGCCTATGCATCACCCAGATGTCCCAATGGGATAACGGTAGTAGAGATACCAATATCAATCATACAGTAGGTACCAAGTAAAATCCACCTGAAGTGCCAGCGCCATTCAATCCAGTATCACAAGTCTGATTGCTGTCCATGTCCACTTTAGGCTGATCAACCCCTTTAGTTGATGATATACCATCGTTTTGAGGTACAGAAGCCTATTTTACTGGATACTAGTTGAATGGATTTTAGGTTCGTCCCCATATTACATAGTTTAGATATACCTAAATGTGGAGCTCCAGGCACATACAATTTTATAATTTAATATATTCTCAAGTTCAAAAAAAAAAAAAAAAAAAAAAGGCTGAGAGCCTCTTCATTTACCGTAATATACAAGATTAACAATCGTTCAGCACACTGGACATTTTATTTAACTCTGCTAGAAGCCTCCTCCTGGCAGCAGTGTTTTGTCTATAAGAAAAAAAAAAATTAAAAAGCCTTACACTTGTAAAAGTGTGTAACACATTTAGCTGCGTCAAGCATTTGGGCTTTAATTCATTTCATTGGCCAGAATAAACAATTTATTCTGGCCACTGAAATGATTTAACGCACAAGTGCTAAAACACACCTTTACACACTTCAAGCATTTTTTTCTGCCAAAAATCTGCTGCTCCAGGACACACTGGCAGTTTTTTTCCTGCCCAATTCTCCTGCCACTAAATGCCTCTAAAAGTTTATTTGTAGATGGACACATATTAACATGCAGGGGAGTTTAGAGGCAGGAAAAAAACAAAAACAAAACAAGGTTCCCATAGCTGCAGCCGCGCCCGCCGCCCCCCTCCCTCTGACAGATAGTACGGGGAAAAGTTTCCCCATACTATCTGTCAGATTGGAAAACAGCATGGCTGTGCAGGCTTCTGTTTACACGGCCACGTCACTCATTTACAGTGTTCTGTAAATAAGTGCCTACAAGTCACATAGTCTGGCTGAAAAAAAAAAATGGACTTAGCGGTTGTTGGCTTGTAGTTTTCAATGAACTACCACAGCACTGTGGAGCGCTGTGGTAGTTAATTAAAGCTTCCTGTCGGTATATCTGCTTGACCGTACATCACGTACGGCAAGCAGATATTCTGACAGGTCTGCAGGAGACCTGCATGGCATCAGCGATCTACTGATCGCTAGTGCAATGCTTTCCAATGCTTTATTATTTCTGTCCAAAAGGTGAACTTATCCTTTAAAGCAGAAAGTAGATAGGCAGAAAAGAAGAAGAATTTTAGCACACAGTGCATTTATAATCAAGGTTATCCTACGCAAGGTCTAAAAGCAAATTTACCATGGCCAAAATTCATTAGATTGCAGAAGCATAAAATTAGGAAAATAAACCCCCAGTATTAAAAGGTAGTCATGACAATACATAACAGACCACAGAATAGCTTATGTTAGTCTTGTGAACAAATCACCCCCAGCTTCATTGTGGTAAAAAAAATAAATAAAAAAATAACAGTTTTGTCAGGAGAAGATTCATATGTTGCCATAGTCAGAATAGAACGTACTTTAAATATATTTTTATTAGAAAATTTTTATGGGTACAATACCTAAAGACAATTATTGGACAATGCTGACAGCCTAAGAAATAGAATGTACAATAGTAGAAGCAAAAGGCAAGAGAAGCGAGTCACAATGTTAAGGGGTAGAAGAGATTTGCTGATGCATGTGCCACTGGTCCGTATCAGGCTGTAGAATGTGAGGCATCCAATATAGGTTTAGGACTGTGGAACCATCTCAGTTCACATGCATCACAACAAGACACTCCACATATAGTCATCGACGTACCACCTACGGTGTCATAACCCTTAGTGAACAAAAGAAGAGGAGTACAGAGGAAAGAGTAAGGGGCTAAGTACCGTAAAGTGGAAGTTCAGCCAAACCTAAGGCTAAGCCTACTCCCACCCCCATTCTAAGGCTATTATATCTAACCCTGTAAAGCAGGAGATCTGTATACTTACCTAATCTGAAGCCACTCCAGTCTGGTCTACAGCAGCGGCTCCTGTGTACAACATCACCCACAGACTTATGATGGGGCATCCGTTGTCGGCTGCTTCTCCTCTACACAGAAGCCGCCACTGACATCCGATCATGGCTCCGGATGGAGCAGCTTCAGAATTGGCAAGTATAGAATTCTTTTCTTTATAGGGTTAGAGAGAATAGCCTTAGAATGGGGGAGGGAGTAGGTTTAGCCTTATTAGGTTTTGCCTGGACTTCCACTTTTACTTCTTTTTATATGTTACAGGGAAAGGCAAGTAAATGTTATTTTATATTAAGCACTTACTAAAGAAGTATTTAGGTTTCTGTGCAAAAAAACACTTCCAGGATTAGGGAGAGAGATTTTCTTTGCAAGGTTTCCATCAGTGATCACCCCATAACGAACGGTCACAATGTAATCTAAAAAGAAAGTTGCATCATATAGGTTACTTTTTGTAAGACAGTTTTTATGGCATGGCATGACAACTTTTTCTATCAGGAATTTGCTGCCCTGTCAAGACTAGAAACTGTACAATTACATATCACTAAATGTGACTAAAGCTGGACATACATGGGTCGAAATTCAGCTGGATCAGCAGAGACTGGCTGAATTCCAATCCATCAATGGGCAGGCTGGTTGTACAGAAGTAGATGTACCAATCAACTTCTGGATAACCAGCCTTTTGGATTTCCAGCACTCAATCAGAATACAGTACCTCAGTCGAGAGAATTCCCCCATCCACACTGACTGAATAGGGGAATCAAGAACATTTTTAGGGTTCAACCCGCTGGTTTAATCACTAATCTATGGGCTGCTTAATCCAATGACTGAAGCTGGCCATGCTCCAGTAGAATTATGTTCAATCTTTTGCTCGAAATTCTGAAAAATCTTCAGTTCGTGCATTTAATCTTGCCATCGAGTCAAATACACACATTCACAAGCCCCAAAAATTTGTCCAGACCTGCTCCTTGAATGGAATCCCAGATGTATTAAAACAGGCTTCTTTTGCTCCTAGCAAGTGTGCAAAATGGTGGCCATATACAAAACTGTATTATACACGATAACAGTGTATATATTATTGTCTAAAATATTTATTTTAGGTTTGATCAGAATATTGAAAAGCTCATTTGTTGCACCATACACTTAACAATTCTATCCAATTATCTGCTTTGCTACTATCATATTTTCCCTCCAGACCAATCATAATAATTTCGATGTAACTGATCACTTTTTCTTGAACAATCAACTATACAGTATGTGTCTGTTCAATAATTCATGCACCCAATGATATTATTATGCATTTCTGTGCAGATTCATTCAATCAGATTTTTACATGTATAAGTGTGATTTTTCCCAATCAAACAAAAAATCACATTGTTTTTTTTTTTGTGAAATGAGAAACATTTTCCATCCTGCGCCTTTGAAATTTCTCATTCCTACAGTCAAAAACAAATGTCAATGTGACCCCACTAACAAAATTCTACTTGTATGTGTCTAAGTGTATGGCCGGCTTTACGCCCAAGATGATACATTGTCAGCCCAACCCCTAATTTTTCTAAGGTGATTCTTAATTTCAAAACTGCTTTTGCAATAAATTTTCCTTAAAAAAAGTCACAAGGGGACTTTTACCAACTCTTTTGTACAAAGAGACAGATTTACTATAAGAATTCAACATTCCCATGTTTATACGTTTCTCCGACTGTTGCTCTAAAGTAGCAATGTGATTCTGTTTCCTTTATGGGAGTCCAGGTGCAGGGGTAACCAATATACAGAAAAAACTGTTCCATATACTATGCTAAATAAGAAGCCGTCTGGATTCACATCTACTCTTGTCCTATCAGAAAAAGATCCTGATCAACAGTGTGCATGTACACCTCCAGAATGTTTGTACTGATAGCACATTTCACTGAATGATCAGTTTTTGCATGGCTATAAGCTTACAATAGATATTGCAAGAGAAAATAAAAGAATGAAGAAACCAGGCTGTAGTCAGAAACCTACTACAGTAATTAGTTGGTGGTCAGTGAAAAACTCCATAACTTTAAAAGTCTGCAGGAATAAACTCTACACGATTAGGTCATCTCTGAGTCAGCATCTCCAGAAAGTAGATGCCGACTCTGATGATGCATAAACAAACATGGTTCTGTTCTTCTGGAAAGAAA